TGGTTAGAGGCAGTAGTTTCGAGTGTCCTAGGAGCAGTTTCAGAGACGGACATGAACTTCCTTTAGTCCCTAGCAGCTTGGTGGGAGCATTGCCTGAGATACTGGCTTCTGTTGGGGGACACTGGGCTTCTGAATCAGCCTGTTGTGTACCTGCTCTGTGTTTCTCGTCTCTTTAAACCTGGCCTACCATTCGAATGCCAAAGAGAATAGCTCGTGAATGGTCTTGCGGTCTCATGGGAGAGCTCTCCACAAAGTGAACACCTGGAGCTGCTTTGGCTGGCATGCTGTCTTTCTTCAGCTGCTTCCCGGGAAGATGTCTGCTGTGTGTAGCCTTTGGGAGTTGGGTGGCTCAATGTGTAATTAGAGTCCCACATGGACGTTGCCCAGTGCGTCTTCACAAAAAACAAAAGTAAAGTGTTTACTAGGGCTGATCTAAGTTAAAACTCTTCTTTATAAGCTGTAATTTCTAAATCTTAACCTATTGGAAAACCCATTTATGCTGAATTAATATTATACATTTGAATATATTAAAATATCCCCTGTACCACTAACTTTATGTGTTAGCTTCCTTACTTGTTTGCCAACATCAAAGTGATATTTGCTACTAAAAAGAGTTCGATACCTGATGTTTCAGAACAGTGCAGTCAGAGGTAGGTATTTACTCTCTTAAGGTGACTGTTAAAATTGAATATAATTAGAAATTCAGGGTCTCGGTTTACCCTAGCCAAGTTCAAGTGCTTGTAGCCACATGTGGTTGGTGGTGACCAAATGGCACATTGTAGACAGAGAACATTTTTATCATACGGAAAGCTTTGTCAGACTTCCAAAGTTTTACTTTTCGTTCAGATTATCAGAGAGCTTTGGATTATTTTTGTATATGTTATATTCACTGTAAGGAACTCCTAAGTGAAAGTTACGATCTGTCAGGGACAATGTCAAAAACTCCATTGTATTAATTTAAATATAATAGCTCACTCGTGAATTGTTTCTCAGAACTTTGATTACCAGGACAAATTCCATTTCTCCTGAGACTTACCATCCCATTGTGGCCAGTGTGAATTTTGTAATTGATCCTTTTCCTCTTTTTGCTTTATTGATGGGTGAGGACAAGGCCAAATTTATGGCTTAATTTAAGTCACTTTTTGGTTCATTCAATTGCATGCTTTCCCCTACCTTGACTTAATTTGTGTTTTTATAAAATATAACTACTTTAATACCTGCATTTTTATAGGTTATCTCAATGGCTTTGTGAAAGGAGGTAGAATACAAATAGAGTAATAAATACATACTTTGAGGATTTCTAAGGATACTTTTGCCACTTACTACTGTAGGAGAAGCTTATTTGCTAAACACCCGTATTGAGAAGGAATGAAGGAGCTAAAAACAGTTCTCGGCCCCACATGTACTCTGGACTGCTTTCCAAATGAAGTGATGTAGAATGTATCCCTGTCACAAGACCAGATTAGTGCCCTTTTCTAAATCATTTCACATTTTCAAAATAACATTTGAAGAACTTGCTTACTGAAGTAGTCTGTAAAAATTTCAGACTTTTTATTATTGCTAAGAAAATTCCATCAGGACTTTATTTGATATTCCAGCTGGTGAACCAGGTTTAAACAAAGAGGGGAGGAGAGTGTGGTTTCGTTTCTTTCTGAATGTTTTGTATCTTTTGGATCACATTGGACTTCATTCCAGGCATTTATACCCTTTCAGTATTCAAACACCACTGTGCTTTTCTCTTTTTTGCCCACTTCATACCAGAATTTGTAAGCAGGTGAATGTTATATATGCTTTTTATGGTTGACAGCTCTTCTTGCTTCTCAAAACACTGCAAATGGCTTGAACTTTTAGGGCTAGGGCTAAAAGCTAAAATAACTTTATAAAAAAAGAAAATCAACCCCACTAAAAGAAACCTAAGCTTTAAATATTCCCATCTATCAGTATGGAGCAGATTTCAGTAATGTTTTTAATTTCTCGTTATCTAATTACTAAAGTGAGAAAAAGAAACACAATTCTGTACTTTTCATGTACTGACAACCGGAAGCATATAAACATCTGCAGAAACCAAACATTTCCTGGAACTAAACTCAAGCAGAAATTTATCACGTGAATCTTTGTTTAAAGAACCCAGTGAAAAATATTTTCAAGCACAGTTATGTAAAAGATCCAGGGTGAAGCTCACGGCACCAGGCGCTCCTGAAGGCGGAGGCAGAAGCAGAGGACTCTGCTGAATTTGCCTGCTGGGGAGGAGCGCATGCTGGCCCTGGGGACGGGCTGCAGGACCCAGTGCTGCCGCACTTACCGCGGCAGAGAGTTTAAGAATTGGTTGTTGGGAGACATGGGAAGACGCGGCTGGGAGACTTGTCCAGATGGAGGTGACGGAGGGCAGCCATGGTGGGGAAACAGGGAGAAATGGTGCGAACGAAGCCACACTCTAAAAACAGAAGCAGCAGGATTCGTTGATGAACTGGATGTGAATTCTGAGGGGAGAGACAGTCAGGGATGACTCGCAGGATGGACTTGCTGTTCATTAGCTGCTGGAGGAGCATCAGCGTGGTGAGGTAGCAAACTCCAGGACGCAGGAGCTCCCGGATGTGGGCGTGGGGTGATGAGTCTTGTGAAATGCCTGTTTACACAACCCAGGGAGATGGCAAGGAGGCACTGGGAATACGACCCTGGAGGTCAGGAGAGAGGTTCATGCTTGGTGGTAGTCAGAGTGATGAGGCCACAGAGATGACCGAGGGGAGAACATGTACGTGGAAAGGAAGTTTCAGAATCGGGAATCCTGGGCCTCTCAGTCGGAAGGTCGGGGAGCAAGAGTTTAGGGAGGAGCAGCCAGGGGATGGGAGGGGAGACAGGAGTGTGAGGGCCTGGAAGTCAAACGGATAAAGCATGTAAGGAAAGGGGTGTGATCACCTCCTGCTTCTTGGCAGGTCCAGCAACGTGGAAATTGACTATGAGAGTCAATAAAAATCGTGTCTGATGCTTTTTGTCCCAGGGGCCTTAAATGGATTCCATTACGCCTCTCTGGGGGTAACATGGTACTGCGTTGAGGGTGGTCTTGATGAACTGTTTAAATGGTGTTATAATTTGTTGCATGTGCACACCTCAGTGCTTGGCCATTGGATATAGGTCAGGGTGGAAGTCTTCGGTGGCTTTAGTGAGCAATTTCAGGGGACAGCGGAGACAAATGCGTGATTGGAACAAGTTCAGGTGAGAACTGGAGACAGCAGATACAGCCAGCTCCTGAAGTAGTAGTCTTATAAAGTTGGATTACAGGAAAGGGAGGTTTATTCATGGGCGTGTGGCGTCAAGGAAAATATCTTTTTTTCCCTCTCTTTTTCCCTCTAGACCTTTCCACCCACTCCCCCAGGTACAGACTGTTTATATGCTGATTAGACATGTCTGTATGAAGGGAGAATACTGATGATGTGATGGGATTTATCAGTAGAGTTGTATGAAGTGTTTTGGTCTTAGACAACAGTTGACTGAAATAACTAGATAGTTCTTCATCCTCTGAGTCGCCTCTTCTCAGCCTTTCTTTCAACAGATATTTTACTGAAGGGCCATATGGTGCCAAAGTATTGAATCAGGTGGTGGTCATGGGTGAATTAAATGAGAATGAGTTCTACCTCTCATGAAATTCTACTGTCTGGTGAAGCTAGGCTTTCTTAAAGCAAATCAGTAAACACAGATTGGATGATTGCTTCATAGGAAAAGGACAGCGTACTTTGAGAGAGAATTCCTATATCTAGAAGACCTCTCAGAATGCTGGGCAGCAGTGACTGGGCAGAGCATTCCTTGTGGCGGGAACAGAGCATGCAGGGGTGCTGGAGCAGTGAGCACGTGGTGCCTGGGGCACGTACATGGCCAATGTGGGCAGAGAGCTAGCAAGGGGCTCAGCTGTGCTGGACTTGGGAGCCCATACTCAGGTTGGGGTTAACACCTGAGGGGCAGTGGGAAGCCACTGTAGAGCTTAAGGTGTGAAGTGGCATGATGATATTAGCACGGGGCGGGGGGGGGGCGGGAATGACGGTTTACACTGCATCTAGTTTGAGCAGATTGGAGGAGCAGGAGTGGGGGGGGACGTCAGCTTCTGCAAAAAGACAGCATCTCAGAGCTATGTAGATAGACAAAAATATTTACAGTTTTGGTGTAAGAAAATAGAATTGAGACTCTTCTCTGTTTTGCAGAATTTGCTTTGAGCTTGACAACTTTCTCCGTACCTGTGAAGAGAGCATTGTCTTGTTAAAACTAAAGTAAAACACAGAAGAGCCAATGAAGAGGTTAGCGGTTTCAGGTTAACATAAAATGAAACTTTGAAAAAAGTTGTGGCAACTTGGTGAAAAATTAAAAATAGTAAGACCATTTTTAGTAAGCACCTTTTTCTTTTCAGAAAAAAAAAAATGACCAGCAACGCAATATTCGAGTCTAAAGTTATGTTAAAAAGAAAACAGATTAAAGTACATGAACATAGTCCAAGAAGAATTAGTCTGCTAGTCAGACTTGAAGTGTTCATATAATATAAAGAAACCTTTGAATTTGACCTTTAATGTGGTAGATGTATGTTCCTTTATGTTTTTAGAATAAAACCAGTGTAATGAAAAGATTTTATTGGTTAATGAGTATTACAGCAATTTCGTTTTCAATTTCAAAAGTGTCTTAGTTTGTGTGCCGAATTGTACAGGTTAGGGCCTTTCCGGTCACGGGTGAGCAGGCCAGCCGGTTCCCCGGGGCTGTACTGGCCAGCTCCATCCGCTGACCTAGGCTTCTCCCCAGAGAGGCTTCTTCACACAGAAGGTCACTTGTAATATCAGCTCTTGCTGTCTCAGGTCACCCACCGCTCCAGGCCAGGAATTAACTTGTTTGGAGACCTTACTTAAGAAAAACAGAAAGCAGAGAGTAGAGAAATTACTCCCTCTCTACATGGTCTACTTGAGAGAGAGAGAGAGAGTTCTCCTGTTCTCATTCTCACTCCAACATTGTATTAATGTTTTCAGGGGTAGGAGCGTCTGAACATTTTACCATCTGGACTTTCTCCACCTCACTGCTCTAAGCTTGAACCTGCCAGTTTATGGGAGATGGCTGAGAACAGCACTCGGTCTGCTGAGTAAGTAGCTCTGCTATAGTCCATGTTACTGTTTCAAAAGGACAACTTTACGACTGGAAAGTTTTAAAATATTCTGCACTTTAATTGGATTCTTTAAATTGGTTCTTGAAAAATGATGGCCATTATTATAATTCCAATAAGTGAATATTTATAAATCATGGGATTCTGGGAGAAATTAATCTCCTGATGATAAAAAAAGTAATAAAAATAGCTTCCACGAATAATATTTTGTCTTTTAAGAAGCATAGTGAAGATTTAAATGCATATATTATACATTTCAAAGCATCCTCCTTGGAGTTTATTTCACTTATTATATTACAAAATGCAAAAATATTGGTCAGGCAACTTATGAATTTTTAAAATGCAGCTATTTCTATACAGAAATTACCTCTCACCACATGCATTTTGGTTAACTTAAACACTGGTTTGGTTAGTGGGAATAGTTTTAATAGTGCTGTTTGAAAATGGTTTTTTCCTTGCTGGTATAGATGAGACTACAGAATTCCTCAGGGCTCAGCTTTGTTAATTGAACAGAATAAGGAGGGCGAGCGTTCATTCTCTCTAATCAAAACATCTGAATGAAATTTCACACATTGAGCCAGTTATCTTGATAGAAATTATTTCTCGAATGAAAGCTGCTAAATCTCTCCATAGGGCCATTGAAAGAAACTCTTGACACAACAAAAGAAGGAAAGCATGAGGCTGTCCCAGGCCTGTCTTACGAAACGCTTAGTCAAAAACAATAAAAACTCAAGAAACAGCCCCCTCTAATGGCCTTATTTCCTGTCAGGCTGTGTTTGTGTTGCCTGATAAGGTGTGGCCACTGGTTGCCTGTCACCGCTGACATTGGAGATGCAGCTGGGCCCAGCTGATGTGTCTGTGGCCGCCCTCTACACAGCCTTAACATGAAACACACGCCCCTCCACATAGCCTTAGCATGAAACATATGTCCCTCCACACAGCCTTAGCATGAAACACACGCCCCTCCACACAGCCTTAGCATGAAACACACGCCCCTCCACA